ACTAGCCATTCCTGGCCAGCCTATTCTCCACGCCCCATCAAATTTCCATAGCCCGTGTAACATTAACCTCGCGTGAAGCTATTTAAAAAAAAAAAACAGTCACAGGGAATCGTTTTCGTACGTTCTCTGTCGTTTCGTGGACGTCGACGAAATCGACTGGCGTCAGTCGATTTTCGGGTTGGCGAAAGTTCGGCGACCCATTACCCTGTCATTAGGATTCTTCTCGGCTGCATGACTTCTAAGCTGTAAGGCATACAGTGTACATTAGGTGGGGATTGCCCGCAGCACGATGGGATAGTTAGTACCGTCACCCCGGATTTGCATACGCTAACGAGATTCCTGCGGTTTTGCCGACGCTTTGCATGCCGGCCGAGCACGATCTCGCCCCAGTCTGCGGCTCTAGCCACGTCTATTTATTATGCGTCATAGATACGTCAGGGAAGAAAGCACGTCATCCACGAGAGAGACGCGAACAGATAGCGACGGAACTGCAGAGCAACGACGCACGCTGCAACCAGTTGCAGTATACGTTTCCGGAAATTGAACGTTCCGCTCGATCTGATCCGAGTTAATTCTTTAACATCCCTTCGGTGATAAATATTTTCATGGGACACCGAGACACGATCTTCCACGGTCCATCCAAGCACTGAATATCTTTTATTTATACACTCGAATTCATTCCGTATCGATGATACGTGTTCCATTGGAAATAAAATATTTCTAAGTCATCTTACGGCAGATGAGCTCGAGGAACCCTCGACCCTTAGTCTTTAATTCGAGGACTCGATGATTCGGTGTTTTTAGAATTGTAATTTGTGACGTCGAGAGCGTTGAATCAAATTTCCTTCCCCCCCGTGACGAATGATTGTTGCCTTTGTTAGCATTATGCGTATCCGTGGGACGCGTGCGCGCCATCGAAATGATCTCGCGACCTGGCCAATCTACGAGCTCGTTCCGGGGCGTATAACTGGGTCGCGGGTTCATTCGAGCGATGCGCGATTTCGCAGAAATGAAATTTTCTTAGTGGCCGACGGGCACGTTTCTTCCTCGCGTCAATTACGACAACGTTTTCGCTATTTAAGACTGTTTTCGATCAAAGTTTGACTCCTTCCCCCCGTGGAAACTAAGTCTTCCAATCCTTATTTATAGGACGGTTTTAAAAATATTTGGACATCATTTTGATACGGCTCTGTAAATTTAAATTTGGATTCTGCTATTTTTCGTCACTGTGTTCTTTAGTGATTGAAATAGTTGGTCGCATCGGGTGATAATAATAGAAGCTCGCAAGAGTGGTTCCAACAGTTTTAAGTGCCCCACATCATGGGTGTTCCATTATGCACACCTTATTCGGCTTCGATAATATTTGGTTTAACTCACGTTTCTCTTAGGGTTCTCATAGAACGTCCAATGTTCGTTCTCGGTAATTACTTTGTCGAGGAAAGGGTCATTCTCTTGTTCAATTAACTAGGGTCTCTGCGACCTCGCAAAGAATCCAGCCATGCTGTTCTTACCGTTCGAACTAAAATTGCTATTACTTGGGCACCGATAGTTTAAATACATAGCAAATAAATCTTGATCCAAGAATGTTTCTTTTTATTGTTAAAAATGTCGAAGATATTAGGGTGGTTGTCTGCGATAGTACACCCTGTATAACACGAGGGCAGAATTACGAAGCAAAATACAAGGACCGTCGTTAGGACGGAGACCTTAAAAAATTTGTTTCCCTCTAATACACGAAATTAAGTTTCTCGACGAGACGCCCTCGGGTGGCCTACGTTTCCGCAGATTTTTAATTTAAATTGCAGCAAGCTCGCCGTGAAAGAGAGAGAGAGTGAGAAAGAGGGAGAAGAAAACGGTTCACGAGTACTGAATATATTTGACGACAGACGTGGCCATTATTTACACGGCGAGTCTCCGTTTCCTTTCGCGGTAATGATAAACAACCGACGCTCGGGGCTTTCAGCGTTTCGTTAACATCCGTCCCGTTCGCCGAAGCGACTCCATTCCTCGTGCAAATGATCGGATACGCTCGACTCGGCCCCCGCGGCTCGATTGAATGTCTACACAGAAATGGAATTCTTAGGATTCCGTCGATGTTTTTTATTACCCGCGCGGGAGCGTCTCTGGAAAGAGATCGCAATGTCTCATCCGAGCAGGAAAGCAGAACGGAACGAAACCCGTACGGTTATTCTCTCCTTAATCTGCATAATGTTACGATAAATTTTGCACCCGGAAACAGCTCCGTGCGTGCAAAGTGTGCACGAAATAATCTCTGGCCTCAAAGTAAAAGAAAAATCAGGATCGAGAACACCGTCGCGTGGAAAATTTCATATTGTCGCCGAAAGGCATAATTCTCGTCTAAGTTTCTACTTTATTCTTTGTATTTCTGCGCAAAATTTTTTAACGTGCACGTAAAGTTATATTTATTAGTTTTAAAGTTATATTAGTATTTTTTAACGTGCATTGTTAGTCTCTATTGATATTTGCCAGTATGTGCGGGTCTCTGCCTGTCTTTGCTAACCACTGATGACCACTTCTGGCTGGAAGAGGCTGGCAGTAGCCAGTAGTAATCGTTATACGTTGTCAGAAGTATCAGGAGTGGTCATCAGTGGTCATCAGTGGTCAGTAGAGGCCAGCAGAGACCAGCAGAGGCAAACAGTGGCAGGTAGTAATCTTTTTACGTTATCAAAAGTATTAGCAGTGGTCAGCAGAGTCCTGTAAGAAAGAGAGCATGTGTTTGCCTTTGTCGACTGTTCAAAACTACTACGAGCTCACGTACGCGTGAGCATAGTGTGAGAAAATGGAATGCGGTGTCCCCCGGTGCACCCGGGACTCCGTTTGGCATCTCTGGCGCGGATTGGGATGGGAGACCTCGTAATAATACGCTTTCTTTTTCCCTGCCGTCTGTTTTAGACCCGTTTCGGTAAACAGACGCCTGCTTTTAAAGATTACTCCGCGCGCTCAAGGGATCTCCGGACGCAAAGTTCCTCGCGGCCGGCTGCGAAATAACGAGGCGAGCTAATTGGACAGACGTAATTGTTAATTTACTAATAGCCTCGTTGGCCCCGGCCGTCTTTTAATTATACGCACGCGAAAGAGTCCCGCCGCTGGACGAGATTTAAGATTTTCATCGCCGAGCTCGCTCTGGCCACGATCGAACGCGGCTCTTGCGGTCTCCGGCTGGAATAAAATCATTCTCGGTGATTCTACTCCAAAAATTTTAACGATATCAAAGGAAATACACTCTCTAAATAATAATTAATGCGGAAGCAGGTTCCGAAACCAAAAGGGAGGTGTAAAAATAAATAAAATGTTTCGTGGCTACTGTCAAAAACTGAATTCTCACATTTCTTCGTTAGACTCAACGTTTGCAGTTCAGTGTTTCTCAAACTCGTCGTCGAGACTAGAGTTTGGAATCCTGATTTCGCGTGCTCGTCCATATCGAACGTCGTCGATTTCCTCGAAGGATCGCGGGGGGCGTCGAGACGCGGGAGAATCATGTTATGCATACGGAAACTTTTAGAATGTTATTTCGTAGCCGGCGTGCCCGCGCTTATGAACTTCATGAATTCATTACCGGCGGGGCTCGTTACGCGAAGCGGCGCGTTCATTTAGAGCCCTCCTGGAACTGGAACGCATGCCTGCAAACGCGCCGCGGTTATTTTCAATGTTTCTTCGTTAGGTCGCGGCGCTCTTAATCCCCGGTATCCATTAATCTTCGGACCAATTATTTAACACAAAGTCCTCTTGGTTATTGCAGCCCACTTAATGGGAAAGGATGTTACCGTATAATTCGGCTATGGTCGCGGGGAATGTTTAAAGTGGGCCGCATTGAGTTCGTTACGAGTGTTATTTGTGCCGAGACGGAGCTATCTTTATTGCTCGCTGACGATGAAATGTTTAACCCATTGCACTCGCGAAACGACTCTCGGCCGTCACCTAATTTAGTGTCGTTCTCCTACTTCCGGGGAAAATGGATCACGTTTCCTCAGCGGTACAGGTAGCTTTGTCGGCAATTTCCGATTACCTGATACCGTTTCTATAGGATATAGTCGTTTTAATGGAAGCATCAAAGACTTCTGTCGCGAATCCTCTGCTCATAATGAGCAAAATTAATTTTAATAAATTTCATCTCTTGTTTCCTATTTACTTATTGAACTCGAGCTGGATTTTTTATCGCTAGAAGAAATCAGCCAGCGGCGGACTCTACTCAAAAGGCAAACACTAGGCTGACCAATTCCTGGAACCGTCTCGATATCGATGGGATCAATACCGTATCGATACCATCGGTGCTAGATATCAGTTGCAACCACGTGCGCGTATTCAGCGTGATCAAATTCCATTCGATTAATTTACAGTGACCGTACGTTTTTAACGAATGCTGATCAATACCAGTATCGTATAATCTAAGTAAGCAAGGTGCAGTCGGCTCGAAATGAGTAAATTTAAATAAATTCTACTTGCAACAATTATTTCGCGTCGATTGGACTTCACAACGGACCGTACAAACATCGGTAAATTTGTTCTTCGATACAGGAACAAAATTACATTATAATAACATGCCATTTGTAGCAATTATATAATCACCAAATAACATAGTATTAAAAATACATACAGAAGAGAAAGACTATAGTAATTTTATCAATATTGCATTAGATAGTTCGGTATTAGTGAAATTATAGAATCTCTATCGAAAGCAAGTAGAAAAACACATGAATGGGTCGACCGTAAGGGGAAGGAGTCAACGCTTGGTCGGACGCACCTTTATTTTCTACAAAAATATATCGATGCATGGATCGAAAGGGTCTGGTTTAAATACTGCTTTGCAGAAAATAAAAAAAGTCATACGTAAAATGCAGGGAAGACTCGAAATAAATTTTTTCCCTCGAAAAAGTTCTTTTTTCTTCGATGGAAAGGAGATTTGTGACGTGAGAAAGGGTTCGCAAAGGTATTTGGCCGTTTGGAGGTACGCTTAATCCGTTGGTAATGTCTGTTAACAGAGATCGCGCCGCAGCTGGTGTACAGGTTCATCGAACAGACGATGCAAACCGGCCCGTCGGTTTCCCTGAAATGCAGCGCCGCGGGTAATCCCACGCCGCAAATTTCCTGGCTGCTGGATGGATTTCCGCTTCCGCAAAACGACAGGCTGCTGATTGGCCAGTACGTGACTGTGTACGGGGACGTGATATCGCACGTCAACATCTCGTCGGTGAAGTCCGAAGACGGGGGCGAGTACGAGTGCATCGCCAGTAGCCGCGCGGGGGAGGCGAGCCACTCGGCGAGGCTCAATATTTACGGTGAGTCCTGAAAACCCGGAGAAAGAGACAGGGGGAGATTGTTAAGGAGAAGAATCGTCGGTCGGTGTCGATTGAAATTGACTGGAAACTCGGGGGAATATTACGTTTCTCCCGGAATCGATCGCCCGAGAAAATCCGCTTGATGGGATCCTTTTGTCATTAACGCAGCTCGCTTCTGTGGCCCGACGGGGGGAGGGGAGGGGGGGTGGGCTTCGTTTCTGTTAATTAAAAACCACCCCTTCTGTTTTATCGGCGATTTTACCGGCTGCTATCGTTTCACGGTGGGCTGTAACATAGTTACGTGGCAATTTTGGGGACGAATCGCCGATTTCGGAGAGTCTCGCGTGGAAAATGACAATTTTCGTAACCTAGATTAGAATCTCTAACAGTATAGATAGTTACGTTTTACGAACTACGTAAATCTGTAATTTTACTAAAGTGATAAATTTTCACCCTCTCTTCGAGTCGTGGAATGTGTATTTTTGAGAAATTTGGAAATTGCGAGCCGTATTACGATCTGCCCCTGTTACTTTTAGCCCCGAGTCTCCCCTGTAGAACTCCATTTATCGGAACTAATGTCGTCACGGTATCTGGTTTACCGAACATGTTGCTGAGCTCCTGTTAGGTATACGAGCCAATAAACAGCAGTAGAAGGGATAATCCGTAGACTCTTATTATCCGAACCGCCTTGTCCCCCTCTCACCTGACAGGTTCGGATAAATGGAGTTGTACTGTACTTCGATACTCTGGGTCTCGAAAATTGATCAGTCTATCGAATTCCGCTAGATTAAATTGGCAATCCCATTTAAATAATCTGTGTCGAGCTTCGAATGCTCAGAATACATTGATCCAAAGAAGTTCGTGGTCCTAATTTTATCTATTTCCATTGAGCTATTCCACGAACTACTCTCGATCTTCATCAAGCCTCTACAACTCCTCTACTGTTTACACTAAAGTATAAGATATATAACAGACGGATCAAAGTCGAAACATCGAGGAAACTCCATCGAGAACTTCGTCTCTCGTTCTGTCGCGAAAAGGGAAGTGGTGAAACAATGGAATCGAGGCAAAGGGCGGACCGCCTTTGGCGTCGGCCATAAAAGCACGAAAAAGCTCTAATTCGATCCCCGCAGAAAGGTTAAATTACTCCGAATACACGTTTTATTGCTTGTCAAACGCAGGCCTGCCATACGTCAGACCCATGTCCACGGTATCGGCGGTCGCTGGGAAACAGTTCCACATCAAATGTCCGGTCGCCGGGTATCCCATTGAATCGATAATTTGGGAGAAAGGTGAGTAAACGTGTTTTGTTTTCGTTAAACGCTCGGCTCATTTACATGGAGTAATGAAAGTCGGGTACGCGCGCGTCCGCGCGGTTTCAATTAGCGGCAGTGGCGCGCGTGCCGATTCCATTCCTGGGAAACGTCGAATCCATCAGCAAGCATATTTTCTCTGGAATTTTGCATACAGGGTGTCCCACTCAACTCGAGTGTCTGAATATCGTAGGAGGGAAACGTTTGGCTCGAGACGACAAACTCCGTGAAAGTAGAATTTAAGGAAATAGGAAAACATCGATGGCTCGTAGCGCGAACATCGAACGTCCGGTTTTAGAATTTCTGGAAAAATTACTTCTGGAATGTAAGATGGTGCTCGAGTTAAATGGGACATCGTTGCACGGGCTCGTCACGTGTTTGTTATTGTTACCAGATGGGGTGAGGCTGCCCACCAACATGAGACAAAGAGTCGCGAACGGTAGTCTGTTGATCGACACCGTGCAACGGGCGGCCGATCAGGGCACGTACACGTGCACTGCCAGGAACAAGCATAACTTCACTTCGCAACGATCGGTCGAAGTGCGGGTCCTAGGTGAGTAAGCGGAAGAACAAATACTCCTCGATACAGATTTTTTTCAGACTTTTCAGGGAGATTCGCCGAGTCGTTTGGACTCTGTCGCTCGAATATCGTCAATTTCGGGAACTCGACTCTTGTTCTTGCTTGCCAAACTGTGTCTGGTTAAACCGCAAATATCGTGCCTCGCGAAGATAATTTCACAGCAACGTTAATGTCGGTCGTATATACTTCACGTGGCAGTCAACGCGTCGAAAGAGTTCTGGAAACCGGTCTCCGGAACGCTGTGCAGGTGTCGTAGCAGTCTGGATATTTCATCAACGTCAGCATGACTGCGGAAGAAGGCGCGTGGTGACAAATGGGGAGGATATTGCGCGTTCCGTAACACAGTGATTTGATGTTTTGCCAAAAATTGTTGTTCATCCACCGTCACCGTTAAAATGCAACGTAATAATTTATAGCCGCTGAACTCGTCCGCTCGGAGTCACGTTCTCGCCAGCGGACAGTGCATAATTAAGGACTTCGAAGCATCCTTTAAAAAATGATCGGCAAACGTACGACGTTCTATTAAAGATAAAACGAAGTTGACAGTTTTCGCGTCCGATCGTAGAATATGTAGATCCTCCGTCTATAATTTCGGGCGAACCAAACTATCCGTAGCGACGCGTTAACGCGTGAGCCGTGATCGTGTTGGGGCAAATTAGCGTATCTCTGGCACGTTCGGTTCAGAGACTTTCCCAGGCACAGGTTGCAAGCAAAATTCGAGTTTCCCCGAGAGGCGAGAGTAATCGTCTCGAAACAGCGCCGCGCGTGATCGTTCGGAACATTAAAGAACGATCAACAACGGCGCTGACGAACCTGAAGTTACATCATCCCCCACTTTGACACCGTCCACCCTCTATCCTCTCCGTAATTTTCCGTCTCAGCATTCGCGTATTAATTACAATTCGTGTGTGCACAATGTCCCGGCGTGTTTGACACGTGCCGCCAAATTCACCTGCACACAAAATGTTTCTATATCAGGTTCACGGAGCGAATTCCGTGTACTCCATTGTTTATCACTGGGCGGGATTAGCCGATGCGGGGCAGCATTGCTTCGCGTTTCCGGTTCATCGTTCCGAGCGCCGGTTTTCGGAACAACAATGCCCACAGTTTATCGTTTATCCCCGGAAAATCAACCAACGTCTTCCGGTTGGATCAAGTTCCTTCTTTGGACTGTACTTTGGACATGTCCAACTCAGTTTCCGTCAATAATTGACTGTTCGATAGCAGACAATAGAAGCAATTGCGACGACAATATTTTATAGCAGAATAATTTTCAGGAAAATAAACAAAATAACACTGCCCTATTCTGTCGAAATTGGATATACAATATTTATAAATACCGATATGTAGAAACCATTTATACTCGTCGATCTGAAATCATTTTTAGATTATTATTACACGCGAATTTGCAAAACATATCAATAAACCGTGCGTCATAAATATAAAATCTCAGTCTCGTGTGTACATTTTAAATAAATACATCCCTTGCTTGCAGTTCGATTTTCCTCGCGTCGTATATTATGGAACCGTTAATGCACCGAGTAAATAATATAAAGGTTAACCCGATCGCGTAATATAATGGATCCTGTGTTTGACACGTCCGATGTACTTCTGCCGTTATTTTCTTTTCATACTTTTTCCCCCCAAAGTAACGGTTGGTGGAAGATGAATCCGTAGAGTGCGCCGCGAAACGTATTCCGATTCCGTGCAAATATTCGTCGCGCAGTTCGCGCTGTTTAATCGACGCTGCCTCGCGAAGAAAACCCCGGGAGATCCAGGTCTGTGATTCTAAAGCTGGGGAAGTGCGACGGAACTTCTAAAAATTCGGGAACTTGCCGTAAGTTGCCTCAAAGAATCCTGCGCCGGGCGTTCCAGTGGGGTAGGAATATCGTTCGCGCGAATTCTAACCGTCTGTCGCGAAAATCGCGCCCGACCCTCGACTTTGGACGATTTTACGCGTCGACTGCCATAAGGATCTCGCCAGAAAATGTCATTGTGCTGTCATTTTCGCTCCGATGATTTATCTACTCCGCGATATCCATGATAAAATTCCTTTTAAATATTTGCCAGGTCAACTGTACGAAATTGTTTGTCCCGTTGAACGAAGTTTCTTCTATTTGGGACTGTTGGAATATCGCTGACAGGCATTTGTCATTATGTGCAATGACGTTTCACGAAAATTGACCAAGTACCGACGATCGTCGAAGTTTAATAATTCTATAATATAGAAAGGTGCATATCCAATAGTCCCAGCCACTTTGGAAACACTGTTCTAAATGCTATTTCAAATAACACGTTATTCCATGGTTACTTCGTTTTCGTTATTATTTTACGGAATAACTCTAACGATTATCTTACAAATACAATCGTCCAAAAAACGAGGCGTTATAAAAATAAATGTTATTCTACGTTTTTCACTTGTTTTGTCACGAGAAAATATCCGGTCGCGTCTCGTTTCCGTGTTTCGACCAAAACTGACCGAGATTCGGATCCTTAGGGCGGCGGACGCGTTAGAGGTACCATCAAAGTATCCGATGACGATCGAAATCGTTCCTTGGTCCCTGTGTTTCGCGAACGAAACAACGGGTACGCGATGCAACAAAGGGAATCGAATTTGACGAGACAACGGCTGGACGATCGATGATCGGAAGGAATCGGGAATCACCGCAAGGCTAATTAATCCACCGGGAGCCAATTACTCGCTCTCGTCGTTTCTATTTACCCGTGCCGCGGCGTGACCGCGTTCTAATGGTAATTAGCTCGAGCGAGCTGGCATCCGCCTTATTCCTACGCCACTGGGATCCGCTTCGCGTCCCGGAGCAAAGGAGGAGACAATCAAAGGGTCCAGCGCACGATGCGACGGTTCCCTGAAAATGCAATCATCCGCGGTGCGGAGTTCGACGCTCGTTCGGAGACCTCTGGACACGATCGAAAAAGTTTGCCCGCCCGTTCCGTGGAAAGGAATTTCTTAACCACGGCGCTGTGTTGTCGCGGTGCAACTGCGTTACGGATGTGTACGTGTGCGTGTATATGCGTCTATCTGTCTCTTCTCTCCTTCGCTCTGTATTTCTCTGTGTGCGTCACCTGGATATCCGTGCGTTTGACAACACTCGCGTACGTAAACCCACGCACCAGAGCACAGCACTTCACTGCATCGCTCAAGCATTTGTCCTTGCACGCGCTCGCCTAAACTGCTCTGTATATTATATTCCGTGCGTGTACTTTTGTACATAAAAATTCACGGCCGATACCGCCGTACGTGGACACGGGACAAAGTGCACGGGCCGTTCGAGACGGAAAAAGAGGGCTGATCGCGTCCTGCGTCGACCGGAAACTCCGCCGCACCGCGCCTCGGACGAGATAGAAACATTTATTGGCTCATTGCTTAGTCGAACGGTATTCTGTCGAGTTTTAATAACTTATATAAGTTGCAAAATTCAATCGCGAGTCACGAATTTAAAAGTTCGACCTCCGGAGTTCAATATGCATTCGATTGAAAAGACTGATGCCTTTCACGTGCCCGATTCTACTATCTCGTCCGTCGTTGACACTTTTGTTCGCTGGCGACGGAGATTGATGACCATTTAAACATCGCAGCTGCACTGTGGCAGAGTTCCCGTTGTCGCGCGACGCGTATCAGAGTTCGAACCGAACGATCGCGGGTATTTTCTCAAGAAAAGCCATTCGCGATTCGTCGCGTTTCTTCGAATGAAACTGGAATTTTAAAAATTAACCAAGGTCTAGAATAAGTATTATTCCCTTTCAACGATTGCTAGTTGTCGCAGCACAGTAGTTTTGTATTTTCAGCATTTTCGCTACTTTTCCGCTTCGGTGAATTTCCGTGCTTTCTTGATTTTAACGATCCCGTTTACGGAATCGAGTTCCATCGACGCGAGTACTCGATCGAGCGTTCCGTCGCGTTTAAAGACGAGCGCCCCGTGCATTTGGAGAACGTGTGCACGCACTTGTACATAAACACACTGTTGTCGAAGCATCGATATTCTATCGCGTGACACTGTCGCCGTTTCTTTGGCGCGCTGTGCACTTCACTCGAGACCCGTGCACCCTCTCCACGAAACTGTTGCAAACGCGATTTCATCGGCAATTTTCGTAATTGAAGGGTGAAAAGCGAACGTCGAGTACGCCTGCCGTGCGCGCGACCGAATTATGCCGGCTCGAAAGCAATCAATCCAAGTGCTGTCGATTGATTGTTTTCCCTTTCGCGGGAAAACTCTCGCGGAAGTTTCGCGGCCGCGTTTATCGCCGCGATCCGGGGGCCTTTCCAATCCTCGCGCCAGAAACTCGTCTATCGACTCTAAAAACGTAATGGTTCTCGAAAAAGTACGGAATTGCCTCGGCGAACGAGTCAACCCTTCGCTGCATAACGTTACGCGTCACTCTATTCAATTGACATAACTTTACATTTCTCAATTGAATCGCTGGTTTCTAACACAAATAACTAAAATTATTTTAATCTGGAGTAATGTCTCAGCAATCACCAATAAATTGCAAACAAAAGTGTATTTACTCTCTTTATTAAACAACGCGACGCGAAGCGTGTTGTGAACACTTTCGGGATCGGAATGAAATTGACGCGCGCTCGTCGACGAGTAAACCGAAAACCAATTCGACGAAAAATTGTACACTGGCCGTACCGCAGGGTTAAATATCAATCGGCGCTTGTTCACGCAACATCGGTTTATCGCTGAACGAATCAAGGGGAAAAAGTGCATTACGGAAGTTACGATCGTTGCGGGCCGCGTGCGTTCAGCGATATTAAAAGAACTCCGGATAGATGAAAACGTGGAAACGAGTGTAAAGCGCGCGGAACGGGCACAATTACGAACGAAGCGTGTTCGAAAATTGTCTCGACTCGTTATATGTTTGTCGAACTTGGTTCGCCGAGTGCTCTTCGATCAGCCGTTTCTCCGATCGAGTGCTCAATCGAACGGCATAATTACGCGTATCTTTTT